TGGGAGTTGATGTTTTATAATTTTGTTGTTGTGAATACTGTTAATAATCCCTAATTTGTGATGGCACTTATACGTAGATTCAACTAAACGTACACTTCTTGATTGGGAAAAGAGATACAAGATCATCAAAGGCATTGCCAAGGGACTTTTATACCTTCATGAAGATTCTCGTTTAAGGATAATTCATCGTGATATGAAGGCTAGTAATGTTCTGTTAGATGCAGAAATGAACCCTAAAATTGCAGATTTTGGGATGGCAAGACTGTTTAAACCTGAAGAAACTCAAGGTGACACTAGTCGAATTGTTGGAACCTAGTAAGTACACTTCCTTCATATGAAATTAATCATACCTAGTTTATAGAACTATTTGTTTTTGTTTCCACTTCAAACTCCATCAGAAAATAGGTCGCTTACGTTTTATTACTAAACATTAAGTAATAGTTGTTTTTCAAGTAATTAATGTTTATATGTGTTTGTATATGTGTATGCAAGTACTAACTCAATTATTTTCCCATTCATTCCTCTCTTGTAGCGGTTATATGGCACCTGAATATGCCATGCATGGACAATTCTCAGTGAAGTCAGATGTATTTAGTTTTGGAGTGTTAGTACTAGAATGGTAACAGGTCAAAAAAACCAATGCTTTCGAAATGGAGATAGAGTCGAAGACCTTCTAAGCTTTGTAAGTATCCACCTTTTCATCAACTATATTACAATATATATATATATATATATATATATATATATATATATATATACATACACACATCAATGCAGTTATATTATCTGTGAGAAATGGAAAATTAGCGGATAAATAACAAAATAATTAAAATTTAAAATCTATAATAAGTACAATTTCATTAAAAATAGAAAAAAAATACATATTTTGCATTATTTTTTGACTTCTTAGTCTTCAGAAAGGATTTATTATGTATATCTTTACTTTTAGAATTGACAAGTGGCAGAAATCATAACGTTAAGAATATTTTTGATCTATTTTAGGCATGGAAAAGTTGGCGAAATGGGACAGTAGCAGATATAATAGATCCCACATTGAAAACAGGATCAGGTTCATTACGTGACGTGATTAGAAGTACTCACATTGGGTTATTATGTGTTCAAGAAAATGTTATCGATAGGCCAACCATGGCTTCAGTTGTTCTTATGCTTAATAGCTTCTCTATCACGCTTTCCGTACCATCAGAACCTGCATTTTTCATGCGCAATACTATTGATCCTGAAATGCCGCTTCTTAATGAATTCAGTTCTTCAAATTCAGGGGAAAATGGTTTTGGAAAACTTAAAATATCAAAGTCGAAACCAAGATCATCTCAAGTTTCAGTAAATGATATTTCAATATCCGAGATCATTCCTAGATAAGTGTTTACATTGCATTTGATCTGGTTACATATATATTTCTTATTTTTTTTTATTATGATTAAGGTCACACTCTTATAATTTATTATTTTAAACTTGGATGTACTATTAATCATAAACCATAAGTTTAAATTTCATTCTTCCTACTTCTTCGTGTTAACTAAGACACTTAACATGTTATGTAGAACAAAATTGCAAGTCTGCAATATGTAGATAACAACAAAGTCAATGTGAATATGACTTGTTTGGTTTATGATTTCACCCCTTAAACCCTAATAGTAGACCCATGAGGTCCCCCACACTACTAGAAAAAAAACCTAATGACATACATTGCTTTTCGTTAAAGGGAATAGATGACAAAAAAAATAAGCCCTATCATGAATGAAAGACGACATGCATTTGTCTTGAGTAAATTTACGAAATACATTTGCTACATACAATTTGTATGTCATGATTTTACTTTTTATAAAAATATATATTTTTCTAGATTTACTAATATTCAAATCAAATCACACATTTAATATCTCATAATACAAAATAAAATGTGATACACAAAAAAGGAAATTCATTGCATAAAAGATCGTATGTAAAATACAAAGAATCGTTTCAATGGTAAATTAATATAAATATATTGTTATTATGGTTTACATATTCCTATAATCCATAAAGAATGTAAGTAAGTTGTTATGATGGGTGAAGAAATGTAAGTATGTTGCTATATTTGACATTATATTGCTGGTGTGAGTCGGTGTTTGGCTCTCACTTGGATCCTGTAAAAACACCAATCATTGTTCTCCTCAAAAACACCAGTTTATGTTTTGTTGATCTCAACGTCAATTTCTTGTCGATTCTAATGGTGCTCCAATAACCCAAAGAGACCAAATCTATTGCTTCTTGTAGTGAAGATGGAAATGGGACCTCATCCGGTAGGACATATATAAGTATCAACACTGAAACTGCAACCATTGAATGCTAGAAGCGTACCTACACTCACTCGCAACATAAACGAACTTAAATACCTTCAATATTAATAATTATGGAATCGTTTCAATAAAAAATGTGGAACATACCATCCTTTCCTTTTGTTAAACATCCATGACAAATGCCAAGGTGGCACCAAGCACACTAGTTCTTCAACATCTTTGCAAATGCCTACAACAAACTTATGTTTCTTCATTGGGAAAACAATAAAGCAAAAAATATATTATGGACCAAAAAATAGAATGTTAATGAGAGTATTAAATTGATTGTGCGTTCAATTGGGTATGACATAAAATTCCATCATTAGAGACTAAACTTATCACCTTGTGTGATTCTGCATCATCACCACTAATCCCAACAACCTGCCCCTGCATTCTGGTTTTTTTCGTAAGAGTCCCTGAACGCACATGCCTTCTAATAGTGTATAGGAGTTAGCCCATAAATAAACGTGACACGACAAAATTAAAGAAGGCCTAACCAGCACGATAAGCCCACTGCTTACCAGGTCGAATACCTTTAGTAGCCCAAATCAACTATAGAGTCGGTAAAGGTAATATTTTATAGCAAGAAAATCGTCCATACAAATCCTTATGCAACATCCCAGGAAACAAGGAAAAGGAAATACTATTATATTGAAGGGTACTACCATCGCAACCTGTGGATAAAGGAATATCCTGATCAATGAAGCAAGAACCCAGACTCTTTTGTTTGTATATAAAGACCACAACATGCATTGGAAAAGGCAGAACTTCTTCTATCAATAAGCAATTATGCAACACTCACAATTGACATCTAACATAGGCATCAGAGAGCAATATCATGGTCCATCCCTCGGTATTGCTTTCTAACATAGTATTTGTCAACTTTTGCAGCGTGCCTTCTTGTTTGTGCATTAGAAGACCAGATGACCATATCACTATCAGGAATCCGGGAGGCTACGTAGCAACATTGGTGCCAACCGTAATAATCATGCAGGACAAATCAGCATACCTTGTTCCCTTCATTAGACTCACCTTTCAGACCAATTAGCTTAATCCCGGTATTCACTCCAAATGCAACAGCAACACCGAGCACCACACCACTGACGATAACCCCATCTCAACCAACAACACATAACCCTCCTCGAACAAATGTGCAGACTGCAGAACATTCAGGGTCGAAAAGACAATCACCCATAAAAGGAAGGAAAACGAGACAAACAACATATATCACGGTAGAAACAGCAAGCAGTTCCAGCACTGGAGAACCAAACATAATCAAGAGGCCATCCAAATCAACCCCTAGGAACAACGAACTAACCGTGAAAGTCCTACCACCCTTGTTACAACATTTAGCAACAACAACAACAAACACTGACGCAGGAAAATGTACAGTCATACGTACCAATGTCACTACCATTCATATATGCACAATATCAAGCATTTTGGCCACCACAATCCTAGCCAACATATATGCCACACACCATTTTGGAAACCAAAATGCTACCACAAATCCAGTGGACTCCATGGACAACAAATAACGAAGCACATGTGGAAAGAAACAAAAATGTCAACCATTTTCGTGTCCTTCGGTCGGATAACTCACCTTTCATAAGAAGTATAGGGGAATACCAGTTACCAGTAGGAACGAACCTATCCTAAAAATCGAAATACAAAGAGTTGTGCGACCCAAATGATCACATCGAAAATTATAAATGGACAATAGATGCCTATTATTTGGACGAGAAGTACTGGTGTATCTGTTTTCCAACCACCTTGTTCGATCCAGCGAGACTATGGTACAAAAGCTTGTCGGTGTTAAGTATTCATGATTTTAACCAGTTGCAATAAGAATTCGTGGACCACTTCATATAGCAAAGAAAGAACAAAACAGTTGCCCAAGCCATCTTGGGATGTAGGCAACGAGAAGATGAATCACTGCATGCTTTCGTGTACCGATTCAATAAAGCAACTCTCAATGCCCCAGAATGGGCAGACAACATAGTCATTGCCACTTTCACTTATCGATTACATCCATGAGTTTTTTCAAAAAAATGGTCGGAAATCCACCCAAGTCAAGGAAATACATGATGAAAGGGTCAACTGTTTTATGAAGCAAGAAGAGGGAGCATCCGAGAAAATTAAAAGTGATTACGGAGAATGGATTTACATCAATAAGGAGAATCATATGCCCTACATCAAGACTCTGGCTCAAGAGAATTCAAGATATGACAATACTAGGACACAACGACAAACCCGTTTCATGTAGCAAGGCCGAAACTACTTGCCAGCAAGAAATGGGGGAAGGAATCAAGTGACAACAATAGGTGGGGGCAAGAGGAATAGTCGAACAAATTTAGGGGACAAGCCGAGCTGTAAGGAGCATATAAAATATTACGAGTTCCATGAATCTAAGGGACACGATGCCATTGAATGCACCATGCTTAGAAGAGAGTTGGAAAAAAATGCAATCCAGACAACTAAACAACTTGATAAGAGGACTCCAGTCCAAGCAACTAGAAAGCATCGCCCCCATAGAACCAAAGTCAAGAGTTCCAGAAAAAGTGAAATTTTCATCTTCCAACCAGAACATCTAGAAGCTAGCCAGGATTAGGATGGAGACAAGTTTACATTTGACGAATGGGATTACCACAACACCAATCATCGCGGAGATGAACCACTGGTCATTGGGGGTTAATATGAAAGAAGTATGTAAACGACATATACATGGATAGTGGTAGTTCTACAGATGTCATGTATAAACACTTCTACATGCAACTTCCAAGTCAAGTGAAAAGGAAAATGGAACCACCAGAGACTCACCTGATAAGTTTCGCAGGCCATAACGTATGGCCAGAAGGTACATTTACTTTGCTGCTAACGCTAGTGGAATATAACAATGGAGAAATGATACTCGATCAATAAGATTTGTAATCATCAACGCATCATCACGATATAATATCATATTCGGAAGGTCGGCAATGCCCAAGTTCAAGGTCATAACATCTACAATATATGAAGTGGTCAAATTTCATACCATGTCGGGAGTGGGCAAAATCCCCACGAAGAAGAAGGTAGGAAAATAGAGCAAGATCACAACCATGAAAGCAAAGTTGGTAATCTTAATAACCTTACATGCCACCAAAGACACACTACACCAACTCTCGGGCATGAAATCGTACAAGACAATGAAGAATCTAATAGAGAGATAAAAACAAGCAAATAGAAGGGAAAACAACAAGTCCAGAGGCAGATAGCAATTTAGGCAAGGCAATCGAAAATCTAGCGAGAAAAAAACCTCCCCCAATCCAAGTACAAGATGTTTCAATCACTATAGGAGAATTCATATGGGCCATGCAAGTAACAGTGAGCAAAAAACATGATTGTACAAAGATGTTGAAGGAAAAGAAATACGAAGTAGCGAGCCAAACGAACAGAGAAATATCGTCACCCAATATGGATACAAAAAAGTAGCATGAAAACCTACACTAGAAATGAAGGACAAGCTAGAGATCGAAACACAGAAGAGGCTAAGCCAACAAAAGCATAAGCCATCAACAAAAAGTATAAGGGCCATCTATAGCATGAAAGTTGGACAAGGCACTAAAGGAGACGCCGCTAGCAGAAAACAAGGAAAGGGAATCACCAAACCAAGCTGCCTTATTTCATTGGGAAACAAAAAAAGCGGACATACATGACTGGGGTAACAAGGGTGGACACGGGACCTTGAGCTTCAAAATCAAAGCAAGTATGCGTGGATAGTAACAACCTAACTTATATGTAATACATTGAGGAAACATCCAAGAGCAAGCGCATAATCACGAACCTTATCCATGCGGACATGTAGAAGCAAAGTGATTGTCTTCTTAATCAATGCAATGATGGTTTAATTGAAAAATAATGAGTGCAATATTTATTCTAAAACGTAGCTCGATCAGCCGACTACTTAGAAATTTTGGTCATTTCAACATACTGACCACGACTACCCGGTTAGCCAACTAAGCAACAATAATTATCTAACTATAGCTCAGCCCGCCGACTACTTAGAAATTTTGGCCATTAAAGTAATAAGAAGTGAACAAGAAAATTAAAGACATTCTGATAAGAAAATTTTGGCCAACTAAGCAACAATAATTATCTAACTATAGCTCAAGGGTTCTATCAGGCTTCTAGTCCTCAATAGTACCAGGAAGATGAAAGACATTGTGATAAGCAAATCGTGAAGCATTTAGCCAAATGAACTCGTTCTTCCATCCCTTGATGGACTCAGGAAGCCACTCTATAAATCTTTTTCCTCGGGAACGGAAATAGAACCAGGCACCACTACTACATATACGAAAAAAGTATTGAAACAAATAGATGTCGGGCACAAGTGAAGCATGACACAATAACTCAAAGCAAATTATCTTCGATATGGAATTTGGATTCAGTTGGCACATATGAATTATGTAAGCCTCGATAACTTGCCCATAGAAAGGCGAAGAAGGAACCCATAAACCCACCTCGAAATAGTAAAGATAAAAGCCATGTTGACTCAACTCGTCGAGTGCAGCTTGCAACTCGTCGAGTTCCTTAAGAACTCAGGAAATCATAAGACCCTGATTGACTCGCCGAGTTTCCAGACAACTCGCCGAGTCCATGCGAGGTCAAAATGTCGGGAAACCCTAACTAACTCGTCGAGTCTTCTTACTGACTTGCTGAGTTCATGCAGAACCAATACATGCAATCTTCAACCGACTCGTCGAGTCCCTTCAGTCCATTTCTCATCCAGGCGTTTTTAAGCTACCCCAAAGCTCCATATTGCAGATCTAACCTCCTAGGGCATGGTTTCCACGTAAAGTTGTAAACTTTACGTACATGCATGGTCCTAAATGCCAAAACCAAGCTAAGGGAAAGGTTTAACCCAAAGAGAATGGCTAATGCTTGCTAAATCTAATAACTTTATGACTATAGGGACCAAGAGGAGTCCAGATCTGAAGTTACAACTTCAGATCATGCCCAATACCCGAATTGACTCACAAATATGCCAAAAATGGCCCTAAACCTTTGCATGAAGAGATCTAGCTAAAGATAAGTCAAGGTAACGACTTGTTACCTTCAAAATGATGCCAAGATGAAGTAGAGTCAGACCAACAAGCTTCTCTTTGCTCCAAGCTCCTTTGACTTCAAGCCTTCTTCACAAAATGCACCAAAAGCACTCTTTAAATCTCACAAACACTCAAGAACAAGGTCTAGACTTATTAGGGTTTCTTCTGGCCGTCGAGAGGTGGTAAGGGGCTGGAGGAAAGGACTTAAGGTCCTTTAAATAGGGTGCAAACCCTAAAACTTAGGGTTTTCATATTCCAGCTCCTACTCGTTGAGTTGGGGTCCTCCGACTCGTCGAGTAGACCTTATAATTCACGCGGGCTGACTAATCCCTACACGACGAGTTGGGGCCTCCAACTCGTCGAGTAGGTTTCTTTAATTGCTTGAAATCTTCAAAATCTCATTCTCGGAAAATCGGGATGTTACACTTATCGAAAGGAGGATGATCGATTTTAGCAGTGACACCAGGGATTACAGCACCATCCTCTTCAAGAAGATGATATTTCTCCGAGACCTGAACCAGTCGGTCACGAGTCACTGTCAATGGTAAAGTAGGCATGGCAGATTGAGTCATACTTTCAAAGGAAATAGAGCGATAAGGGTGAAATGGAATAATTGGAAAGAGATAGAGAAACAACTAATGTAATGGACATTTATAAGGGTAAATAGGCAGGAGTGTTGATTTCTGACGAATCAACTACCACAACAATTACGCGGCTTTAGAAGCATAGATAACCTATGCCGGACGATTCATTCCCCGGTTAATTAAAATATATTTAAAGCCCAATTATTAAAAACAGTTTAGCACTAGCCTTTAACAAGTGGGCTGGTGGGCTTAATGGTGTATGGGGGTTAGCCCATACATAAAGGCGACACGACAACATTAAAGAAGGCCTATCCAGCACGTTAAGCCCACTGCTTACCAGGCTGACTACCTTTAGTAGCCCAAATCAAGTATACAGTCAGTAAAGGCAATATTTTATAGCAAGAAAATCATCCGTACAGATCCTTATGCAACATCCCAGGAAACACGGAAAAGGAAATATTATTATATTGAAGGGTACTACCCTCATAACCTATGGATAAATGCATAACTCAGTCAATGAAGCAAGAACCCTAAGTCTTTCCTTTGTATATAAAGACCACGACACAGACCGGTAAAGGCAGAACTTGTTCTCTCAATAAGCAATTTTGAAACAATCAGAATCAACATCTACCTTAGGCATCGGAGAGCAATACCGGGGTTGATCCTTTGGTATCGCTTTATAACCTAAAATTTGTCTACTTTTGCAGTGTGCCTTCCTGTTTGTGCATTAGAAGACCAGACCACCAGATCATTACCAGACATCCGGGAGGCTACATGGAAACACATGCAGATCACATAACAAATTGTTGTTCATTTAATCATACTTTCTAGCCAAGAAGTAATAATACTTTTCCAAAATAGTTGTTTAAACATCCAACATTAGCTTGTGTGAAATTCAAAAAATATCATTTCTTTAAGGATAAAGGCAAAAGAAAATGTGATTTGAACTATCACTTTACATAAACAACAATGTCAAGCTGAATAAACCACATCATAGATTCATATGCTAAAGAATTTATGAAAATTCTTCAATCTTCTGATGATGTAAAAGAGAATAAATGGTACTAATATGAAGAAACTTGTTTAGTGCGTGGGTTTCATTAGTTGGGTAGAAATAGACCACAACATGCTTGCCTTTGAATTTTGAGGGGCTGGTAGTTTTACCTTCATTTATGATGGAGGCATAGACTTTGTTCACCTATAATTGCAAACAGAAAGAGAATCGGTAATACTCAATGTGTGTGTGTGTGTGTGTGTGAGAGAGAGAGAGAGAGAGAGAAATATTTAAGTGGACACATGGTCAAGAAATCAATGGAATATATCTTTTGTACACTTACTCAAGAAGGGTAAAATTTGGATTACCTATGAACAAAAAAATCAAAAAGATTAGTGATTTAATTTGGTATCAGAACATGAGTTTAAATAAATTAGTTATTAGGATTAGTCCTTAGACTGAAACTACAAATGTTCTAGATGTTTTTAAGAATGTTAAGGTAATTGACCTTAATATAGAAAGAGAGATTTTGATCATCTTCATGGTTCAACCCCGACCCTTTTTTGCCTTGTACCATCATCATGTAGGTTTCACAAAACCTCGCCCCCTTTCTTGCCTATGTGGCATCCTAAGTCCGGGGAGTGATGTTGTAGGTTCACAACACCCCTCCCCCCCCCTCCCAATCCTTTTTTTTGTTTTGCCTTGGACTGTTGTCGTCTTTATCATCTTCATGGTTCATCCTTCTAAGTATCTGGTCCAACCTTCATCGTCAGTGTTTGAAAAAACTGTTTCGTTAAAATCCAGGTTAAAATTTTGATGCTCTTGATGCTCCAAAACGCTTGTTCTAAAACAAATATGGATTTAATATTCTAATCGATTCAACAAGCCTATTCTATATTGAATCGTGTAAGTCGAGGTAGGATTCTTGTTTCTATTTGAACCTTCGCTTCCCTTTGTACACACCTAATCTAGCAAAGTCGTCAACCAACAATTTGCATTGCCACATTTATAATAAAAGCAAAAAATAAAAACAATATGGTTTGAGAGTAATACACAATGGGCTTCATAGTTTATTTACTCTTCTTTCTTTAAACATCGCTAATAAAAATCCATTATAAATCTCTGATTACAACAATATCAATGAGAACCCACTTAGGGTTAACTACTTAATTATCCCCATAGCAAGATAACTTAATTTACCTAACAAATTTAATTAGTATCCAACAAATCCATCAATAAAAAAAGTTTTAAAAAAAAAAAAAAAAAAAAAAAAAAAAAAAAAAAAATTTGATTTGTCTTAAGCAAGAGGTGAACGGTGAACATGATCCTCCGAGGTATCAACAGCAGCAGTAGGAGCAAATGGCCACATTGGAACTCCATGGTATCCCAGGATCGGCATAAACTTGCCATCCACCATGTGGTTCGCCGGAAAAGGTATTGGCATGGCGGCATGTGGCGGTGGTGGGAAGAAAGCCGCCGCCGCCGCCGCCTGTGCCGGAGATCTACCAAAAGCCTTCACTTGCTGTTCTAATCTCTCCTTTTCTGCCTTCAGTTTCTGCTTCTCATCTCTTAGCTCATTCTTCTCAGCCTTACAATAAATAAAAATTATGTGTAAAATAATTTACTCATTAACTTTCTATATTAAATTTAAACATTTACCTTTAATTCATTGATTTTTGACTGTAATTCTTGAGCAGACTCTTTAAGCTTCAATGCTTCATCTCTCAATTGATTCACCCTTCGAATGGCATCACCCAAAATTACGGTTTTATCCGTCTTGGGTGGTCTTCCGGGGTCAAGTATTTCATTTAGCTCTTGGAACCTTTTCAGCCAACCAAAGGGTAAAAATGTCAAAGCAACGAATTTTCATTCATATGCTTGTTTATTAATGGAGTAAAAAAGAAACAGGGCTTAAAAATTAAAATCATGCCTTTCATTCAGCTTATCTCTCCTCCTTTTTTCTCTGCATGCTTTTGTATCAGTAGAAGAACATAATCCAGGATTCGCCCTACAAAAAAATTTTCCTTTGTGTTATTATAAATAAAAATAAGAGTTAATATTTAATAATAGTAACTTTTATAATGTACCTTTTTCTTGACCCAAGTTCCTTGCTACAATTTGGTTTTCCAGATGAGTCTAAAAACCCTGCACTGTTATAAACAAAATGTTATAAGAACAACAATATGTGAATGGTATAGGTATAAATTATAGGGACTTAGTTTTGGATTTAGCCCATTATCAAGATATAAAACAATGCCAAATTCACAATCTTTGGGATGTAAAACTACAATAAGTGAATGCTAAAGGTATGAATTATATATTTTTAAATAATTCATTAATCCAACCTTATGAATTGGAATGGTTCTTTCTTATGGGTGGAGCCCTTAAACATTTAAACTTCATTACAACAAAGATTGCATCCCTCTGTTACTATTAAAACACAAATAAGAAAAAAAGGAACAACACAGAAAGTAAAAAAGAAAATTTTAAAATATATATCAGAAGAGCTACATACATAAACTTTTATGCATAACTTCGAAAATTCAAGAAATTAAAAGTACAAATTTTTAATTAGTCGATGGAGAAAGTGGAGTTAATTTAACTAGTTTAAGAATAACTAAGAGATTCAGAAATTCAGCAAAATAGAACATATAGTAGCAATGCAGAACCACGAGAATCCTTTTTTAGAAAAAGTGACCTCAAAGATAAGCTTGATTAAACCCATATACTGAATTAGAACTATGAAAACTAACCTGAGATTGGACGGACCGGGAAACGGATTAGACGACCAGTGAAAATCCGATTCGAGAGATGGAAGTTCGCCTCCGGGGACTGGAATCTGTTCAATCAAGCTGAAATCGAAGAAACAATTCGAATTATCATCGTCTTCTGGGGCGACCATTATCTCTTCTGAACAAAACCTATTTAATCCTTGCCGGAATCTTGAAACCCCGGCGAAATTGAGCGGAGATGTCGATTACACGGATGAAATTGATGTAGGCTTTGTGTTTGAAAGCGTCAAGGGATGAAATTGGTGAAATTGAGACGGGTATGGAAAGTAGGGCGAAATTGATTTGGGGAAAAAGAGGATGAGGATGGGGCCGATGGCGGGCGTTGGAGCATCGAAACACTGCACGTCACCAATATAATATTTAATGCCTTTCTCTTGGGAATTGAAACAAAAACTATTAAATATTACTTTTGTTATCATCATTTTATAAACCATTCACGTGCTATAATTTTTGTACTAGCAAACATCGACAGAAGGAATAAATCATTTTAAACATTTTTATGATTAACATTAACATAACAAATAGTATTAACTAAACTATAATTTTTGTTCTCATAGTTTATATTCATGTGTAATGCTAAGTCTAATTTTTTACATTTATTAGTTATGTGGTTTTCAAAAGTTATGTTTGTTGCTGATATTGTCACTGTCAATGACTATTGTTAGTGACTATTATTAGGTACCATTAAAATTGTCAATAAAGCTTCGTTTTTGTATTTTATAATATTTTAACACATTAATAAACTATATGGATCATTTCTGTAATTTAAATAAAAGATAACCTAAAAGCTTTGAGGTTTCATAATTTCTCAATATTAATCAGTCTTTTTTCGTTTGCCCTAGTCGGAAACCTAATTAATGCCCCTCCTTCCTTTGAACTTCCCTTAATGTCACCGATGACCCACAGTTACTCCCTCATCACCCTAAGTCCCACCTTCATCACCACATAGTATTGTCTCTAGCATACTCACAGCCACAACCACCATAGCAGCGTATCGTCGTTATCACTGTCATTGTCACAACCACCAATATATATATATATATATATATATATATATATATATATATATATATATATATATATATATATATATGTATCACTCTCTCTCTCTCTCTCACACACACACACTCTCATCATCATCATCATCATCATCATCATCATCATCATCATCATCATTATCGAGTACTCCCTTTCTCCTATGTCATTATTCTTGTTTGGAGTTTGTTTCTCCTACAAAGTATATGATTTTAGCCGCCTATCCCTTTTTACCATGTCATAAAAAAAGCTTAAGTCCTTAGTTAGGCACAGGTAATTATTCTACACATAAGATTTTATTTCCATATATTTCAATAATCTCGCTCTGTTTTTAGTTGGGTGTCATTTATTACAATATGTACCAAATCCTTTCATGAAAAGATATATGTTTAGTGTTGTTGATAAATGTGTGAATTACGTTCTTCATGTCTCATATAGGGGTTTTGGGGTCCAAGTAAGTGAGTGATTTTTTGTGTGCGTGATGACTATGTAGTTGTGCTGATTAATGATATGGAAAAACTATTGAAAGTCATCATATTTTAAGATAGGAATGAATTTAGTTTTAATTTTTGGTTATGAGTTCCAACTTGGTGGTAGTGATGGTATTAATGATGGTGGTGGTTTCTAGTGGTGGTGATTAGTGACAGTAGTTGTTAGAAGGGTATCACCCAAAACTACACAAACGCACAAACAGAAAGAAAAAATTGGTTATGTATTTAACACAGTTTCTTTTAAAAAAAATTCGTCATATATGAGTGTTTGTTTCCCAGGATACAACATCAGAAAGTGACTCTTCTAGGTCACCCGAACCCTCACTTGGCCCGGAAAATACATCAGTTGCAACAAGAGAAGGAAGATGAAGCAAAGACGTAAGAGATGAAGAGCAGTGTTTCGTATCATTCAGTGTATTCCATCAGTATCCTTAAGCCTCTATTTATACTGAGAACAATAGAGGTAAAAAAACATAACTAATGTGATTAATATGAAATCGTAACTGTCAAAATTGAATGACACCATTAATCAATAAATCAAAACCGAATTTTGTCATTAATGGCATTTAATTTCGAGTCAAAAACTGTTTAACCAAAAAGAAAATAATTGTAAAAAGGTCCTTGAACTTTTATGGTCGACCGGTGGTGCAGTCGTACCCGCAGGATGCACGCTCGCACACAAGTTCATTGGGCCAAAGCCAAACTGGCTCGCATTTGCACCCCTCTACATGCGTGCACAAGAAATAGCCTTGGTTCCATAAGTCTTACAAAGGTATCTAGGCTTTATAGTTATAAACCCATTCCCTTTTCATACTCCCACCAATGTGGGATGAAGTAAACCTAATAAACCACTTGTTTATACTCTTCCAAACACATCACTTTAACATGTAATTTCTCATTAATCTTTAATTCGTTTTAGACATATAATATATCAAAACGAAGGTGTTATGAATATGTAATCAGTTTTCCATTTTAATTACATCTATAATTCGAAATTCGTGCTAAAAAATAGGAATATCCCATTTTTGGAAATTGGTAAAACCAATTTTCCAACAATCTCCCACATGAATGAAAATTGCTTCGGAATTTCCAAGTTGCTTAGGTAAAATCCTACAGTTAAATCATGCATAAGACATGTAGATGTTACCCTTTAAATCTTCCCTTAAGATACATATTTATTTTACTAGTAGAACAGTAGACTCGATTTCCTTGAATTGTTCTTCTATTTGTGTAAATAATCAATACATATTTCACATGATTCTCCCTGACCTAGTTAGGTTCTCATTGATGTGTCCGTTATGGTAATGGACACTTGTATGGTTCTGTAAGAGCTCTGAGGAATTTAACCATTCAATTCCCTTTGAAACGACCCCACTTCTCTCTCACATAAGTGATTTCTATCATAATCATTAAAAGCTAAAGCTTGATGAATTTCAACTTATCATCAACTACTATAAGCTTAATCTGTGTCACTGTTTGTTTATAGGAATGGGTTGGGGTTGACCCAAATAGTGATTCACATATGTTAGATACATGTAGGTTGTCACATTGAACCTAGATCTTGGGATCTCCAGTCAACTAGGTTGGGTTTTGCTTCGCAATAACTTATTCGTTCATGGGTTTTAATCCCATTTCTCTTGACGACTTTGCAACTAACTCCCTATTTAACCCTTTGGTTAGTGGATTCACAATGTTATCCTTGGAACTTACATAGTCGACTGGGATAACTACAGTTGAGAGTAGTTTTCGAATGGTGTTGTGTCTTCGACGGATATGTCAATACTTACCATTATACATAGCACTTTGCTTCTGTCCAATTATCGATTGACTATCGTAATGGATTGAGATTGTAAAAATTGGTTTAGGTTATCCTGGTATATCTTCCATAAATTCTCGAATGGTTTTGTGTCTCCGACGGATATGTCGAGACTTACCATTATACATAGCACTTTGCATCCGTACAATTGTCGATTAACTATCGCAATGGATGGAGATTGCAAAAACTGGTTTAAGTCATCCCGGTATATCTTCCAGAAATTGTCGTAGCCATTCAACTTCTTCTCCACTTTTATCAAGTGCTATAAACTCAGATTCCATGGTAGATCTAGCTATAATCGTTTGTTTGGAAGATTTCCATGATATAGCTCCACCTCCAAGTGAATACAAACCTGCTGGTTGACTTGGCATCTTTTGTGTCAGATATCCAATTTGCATCACTATACCGTTATATTACCTCAAGATATCTTGTATAGTGCAACCCAAATTTACTAGTATTATAGGGTTCGAAATGTATAGTGAGAAGTCGAAATAGTTGTAAGTCTGTTAGGGTGCAAAATCAGTTTGATTTCGAAATGTATGTATTTGCAAGGCACATGTCAAATTCGAACTCTAACATTTATTCCTTGTACTTTTTGTGCGTTTGTAACACCCTATAAATAGGGTAGGTATAAAGGTAGAGAGTATCTTTTAAGATGTTCGTTATTGTAAACTTTCCCAAACACTTGTACTTCTTACAGACATAAATGAGCCAATGAGATCTTATTTACTTGATGTGTTCTTTCTGATTTCTGTGATTGATTTCGAATTCAGTACTCGACTCTAATATACATCAATTGGTATCAGAGCAGGATTAATTCAATCAGTTTCAGTTTTCTCGTGTTTCAATATTTTTGAATCTTTCTTTCCGATTCAAAGTTTTCCGCGATATTGAAACATAAAACTTGTTTCAATTGATTGTTTTCTTTTGATTCTGCACACTGTTTGTTAGATCAAGTGTTTACTGGTTAATTTTAGTTTGATTCTTCTTTTAGATTTCATTTCTGAATCAAAAATCACTTTTGTCCGTACAAAAATGGCAAACTTCAACATGAACACGATGTTGAGTTTTCCACACTTGCTTAGATCATCTACGAAGATTCCAATGCTCATTCATGAATATTATGAGCAGTGGGCCGATCAAATGGAGGATTATGTAACACTAGTCAAAATAGGTCAATAATAATCACATGTGATTATGCCAATCATGTAATGTGATTTAATTAAACTAGCAATGTGATAAACTTACTATGTAGTTCATGATAAATTCTAATACAAATATGAACTTTCTTTATGATACAACTCAAAGTATATGTCCACACGATTCCAAAAATATAGAGAACGTCTAAATCTGACTTCGCGTAAGAAGTTATGATAAACCGAACACTATAAATCTCTATAATAAGAGGAATTTAAAATAGACTTATATATAGCTATTGGAGTCTAAAATAGAGTTGTAGTACTTGTAAATACCTACGCGTGGATATAAAGAACGTCAAAAACGGAGTTCGTATGCGAAAGTTATGGCCTTCCGAAGATACAACTGTCAGAAACCCTACTCCGAATGAACTCACGACGTGAGCATAGAAACTCACGACGTGAGGAGTCAAATTGCCACATTTCGGACCTAGAAGATGCGTGATGAGGCTACAAAGGGATAAGCTCTAAACTCACGACGTGAACAATGATATTTCACGACGTGAGGAGTCATATGGCCACCTTCGGAAGCTAGAAGACGGATGACAAGTCTACGAAGAGATAAGTTCCAAAATCACGACGTGAACAATGAGTTTCTCACGTCGTGAGGGCCAAAAATCTTTCTATAAATAGCAAGTCCGGCCTTCTCTTTCCTTACACCTGAATTTCTTCTCTCTCTCTCTCTCTCATTTGCTGAAGCCCTCTTGCATCTCGAGCCCGACGACCTCGTACCGCTGACCGTTTCTGCTTAGATTACATAAAATCATGCTACTAAGGTGAGTTTCACGG